CCATATAACGTTGCTTAATGATTACCTAATTGTTCGTTACATTGCAATACTTACATAGTATACATACGCATTGAAGAGGGATCATAGTGATGCGTATATTATGGGCTTGTGTCAGGTTGGGCAAAATATGCTGTATCTTTATATTTGTAAAGTCGACCTGCAAATTTCTAGAACACAGAGGAATCTTGCCGAAATAACCTTTTTTCCAATATATTTTTTTTTCATCATATCCTTAGCAGATCATAATCTTCAGTTACGTAAACAACATAAAACCGCTACCAAAGATACAAATATCCCTGCCTATAGCACGCATTATCATTAAAGGTAAAATTTCTACTTCACTCTGATGCAAGTGGACCTTACGAACATAACCCGACTGCAAGGTGGTCCCTCCAAGATGGCCGCCGTAAAATTGAGCCGGCTTCAGTAATGAAACAATAATTTCTCGATCCAATTTATTTCTTTGTTATTATTTTTTTCTTCTTTTCTTCTTAAGATCAGTAGTTATATCCGAAAGAAAACAATGGCCTAGTAAGTCTGGAAAAGTAAAGATTTTCGTCACCACGATTTTCAAGTAAGAAAAGAGATACTGATTTGGGAGTAAAGTTTTTCCTATAATCTTCATATACTACTGATTTGAATATGTTATTGCGATGTTGCGAAAAGGGGAATTATGCGATATTCTAAACTCTTTGCGGTCGGTTTTCTCTTGATATGTTTGGTGGCGAATAATCTCGAACATGGCAATAGTGGCTGGAATTAGGTTAACGAAACCTCTGTCGCCACCGGACAGAAACCAGAACCATCTTCGGTGTCTTTTCCGCACGAAAAGCAAAGGATAAAAAAAGAATAAAAGATAGAAAAGAAAAATAACGATATCGGGATTTTCGTGATGCGTTGTACGTAAAACTTTTTTTTTTTTCGAACAGCTGCGTTTTTACTGTTGTTATTATTGTTATTATTATTATTATTATGATTATGATTATGATTCTTGTTATTATTATTATTGTTATTATTATTATTATTATTATTATTATTATTATTATTATTATTATTCTTCTTCTTATTATTATTGTTGTTGTTGTTGTTGTTGTTGTTATGATGATTATTATGATGATGATGATGATGATTATTATTATTGTTGTTGTTGTTATTATGATTTATGATTATGATTATTGATATTATTGATATTATTGATGGTTTTGTTTTATTATTGTTACTGATATCCCTATTATTTTTTTAATACTAAAGCTACTGCTATTTTCATTTCTTTTTAGGATATTATCATTATCTTTATTGTTGGTTGGATGATATTCCAATGTTGTGATCAATTTTATTACCGTTTTCTGTTTTCTATTTCAACAAAAAAGTTTTGAAAGAAAGAAAATCTGCAATATTAGGATAATCATTGTTGTTATTGCTAATGGGCTTTAGTGTTATTGTTGATGTCATCATGATTATTATAGCTTTTCATAGATTTATTTTTCGTTTTTTTTATCATGTAGTTCTACTTCTTCCTCCTTCCTTTTCTTTCCTCCTCTTCCTTTTCCCGCCCTTACCTCCTCCGCCTCTCCTATCCCCTCCTCATTCTTCTTCGTTGTCGTCTTCGTCTTCTTCTTTTTCTTCTTCTTTTTTCCTTTTCTTCTTCTTTTTCTTTTCTTCATTTTTTCCTTTTCTTTTTCTTCATCTTCTTCTTTTTCCTTTTTTTCATCTTCTTTTTCCTTTTCTTTTTCTTCATCTTCTTCTTTTTCCTTTTCTTTCTTTTTTTCTTTCTTTTTCTTCATCTTCTTTTCCTTTTCTTTTTCTCTTCTTCTTCTTCTTCTTCTTCTTCTTCTTCTTCTTCTTCTTCTTCTTCTTCTTTCTTCTTCTTCTTCTTCTTCTTCTTCTTCTTCTTCTTCTTCTTCTTCTTCTTCTTCTTCTTTCTTCTTCTTCTTCTTCTTCTTCTTCTTCTTCTCCTCTCCTCCTCTCCTCCTCCTCCTCCTCCTTCCTTCTCCATCTTCTTTTTCTTCTTCTTCCCCACTACTTCTGCTATTCCTCCTCCTCCTCCACCACCCCTCCTTTCTCCTTCTTTTACACCTTTTCTCCCTCCTTCCCTACTTCCTCCCTTCTCCTCCTCCTCTTCCCCCTCTCCTCCTCTTTCTCCCCTACTACTCTTCTCTCCCTCCTCCTCCCCTTCCTCCTTCCTTCCTCCTCTCCCTTTTCTCCTCCTCCCTTTCCCTTCCTTCCTCCCTCCTCCCTCCCCTCCTCCTCCTCCTCTCCCTTCCTCCTCCTCCTCCTCCCCTTCCCTCCTTTCTTCCTCCCTTTCCCTCTTTCTTCCTCCCTTTTCCCCTTCCTCCCCCTCCTCCACCTCTCCCACCACCTCCTTTCCTTCCTCCTCCTCCTTCCTCCTCCTCTCCACCACCACCTCCCACCACCTCCTCCTCCCTCCACCCTCATTCCTCCTTCCTCCATCCTCCTTCTCCTCCTCCTTCCTCTCCTCCCCCCTTCATCCTTCCCCCCTTCCTCCTCCACCACCTCCTCCTCCTCCCTCCCTCCTCCTCCTCCTCCTCCTCCTCCCTCCATCACCTCCTCCTCCATCAACCTCCTCCTCCTCCTCCTCCTCCTCCTCCTCCTCCTTCCTCCTCCTCCCTCCCATCCTCTCCTCTCCTCCTCAACCCTCCTCCACCTTCCACCATTCCTTTCCTCCTCCTTTTTCCTCCCTCCTCCCCTTTCCTCCTCCTCCCCCCTTTCCCCCACCACCTCCACCTCCTCCCCCTTCCTCCTTCCCACCTCCTCCACCTCCTTCCTTCATCCTCCTCCTCCCCTTTCCTCCCTTCCTCCCCCTCCTTCCTCCTCCTCCACCACCACCACCTCCTCCTTCCTTCCTCCCTCCTTTCCTCCTCCTCCTTCCTCCTCCCTCCTCCTCCTTTCCTCCTCCTCCTCCTCCTCCTCCTCCTCCTCCTCTCCTTTCCTCCTCCTCCTCCTCCTCAGTCCAAGGGAATATGATTACGGGCGTGGAGATTATTGCAAATTATGGAAGCCGGCAGATCCTGTGTTTGTGTGTTGTGTGTTGTTTGTTTGTGTGTATATCACATTATAAAATTCTATGCTGTTATGGCTTATGTTTACATATATGTATAAATATAATATATAATATTATATATTATTATTATATATATATGTATATATATATATATATATGTATATATATATATATTTATATATATTTATTTATTTATTTATTATGTATGTATATATAAATATACATACACACATATGTATATGTATATGTATGTTTATGAAAATGCGTATATATGGAGATATGTATATATATATATATATATGTATATATATACATATACTATCTATCTATCTATCTATATATATATTATTATTTATTTATTTATTTATACGGAATATATATACACATCATATACATACACACATATATATATGTATTATGTATGTTTATGTATATATGTACATATATTGTATATATATGCTTATGCATATTCAATATATATTATGATATACAATAATATATATCTATTATAATTTATAATAGATATGTGTGTGTGTTTCTTTGTGTGTTTGTATGTTTTTCGCGAGTGGTGTGTTGTTGTTGTGTGTGGTGTGTGTGTGTGTTGTAAAAACTTCGGTATTGTATATATTTTAAAAAATATAATTAAAGTTAATCTATATATTCTTTATATTGATATTATATACTGATCTCTTTTTACATGTTTCTCGATCACATAAANTATATATATATATATATATTCACATACAAACAAACACACACATATGTTCGTGCGTGTGTGTATGTATGTATATATCTATGCATACATGTATACACACTTGTATATACGCATGCATAAACATGAATACTCATTCATTCATTTATTAATTTGTCTGTCTGTCCGTTTGCGCGTCTGTGTCTATTTATCTATAAATCTGAATGATCGATCCGATCTTGAAATATGAACAAAGGAAAAGAACGAGCGCATCAGGCAGCCGCAGGAACGTCTTCTAGCAAAAAGCCGACGGCGTATCAAGAGGCGGCGGCGAACGGGCTAAAATTACGGCGCCGCCGCCCCCGCCTTGCCCGCCGTCACACTGCCGCGCATTCCTGTGCCAACCCGGCGCTTCTGTCGACGGGGCATTCCGATAGGCCGGAGCCACAATTCGGGAGGCCTGCTGGCGCTCGAGGCTGAAATTCCTCCATCCACTCCCCAGCACCCGCGCCATCTTGCCAGGCCACTTCCACTCGGTCGTCTCAGCCGGGTGTGCCACAGCCCCTAAATATTTGCCGTCGAATATAATCGTTTCGCCACATGGATGCTCGACCCTGGCCAACACCTCATCAATGATTTAAAGTTCTGATGTGATGAAAACATTCACTGGCACCATCAGTGTTGACCTGCGGGACTTGAACGGCAAGAGCCAGAGCTAAATGCAAAAGTCTGTGGACTTGCACTGCCGCATTTAATTTCACAGGCAACGCCCCAAACCTTTGGAAAAGGACAATGCTTCAGCCTGGAGTGACCTTAATACTTCCAACACCCACCGTGGCCTATACCAAAAACTTGCCAAATATCAAACGAACCAATTATATTTATTTAATTAAGATATAATCGTCGAGTGACAAGGTACGAGACAGGACTCCAGTTACTACACCCTACCCTCAGTAATAACTAAAAATAGTTGAACCAACATTACGCCCCGCTATATGAAAATCAATGCCATCGAGAAGAGCCAACTCGACTATTTTATTTCTCACCCTTATTGCAGCAAACCAAGAGCAATAAAAACGCTCCCTGCTCAGGACTTTACATAAGTGACAACGAGTAAGATGGAGTGGGGACGCGGTGCCCGGCTCAGCGCGAGGCCCTGGCAAAATATACACGTCCCTCCACTACAAATAAACCCCGAGGAAGACACGCACCCACGGCGCCTCCGACAGCGCTTCCGGAAGCCCTCCTTCTCTCTCTCTCTCTCTCTCCCTCCCTCTATCTCTCTCT